GTCCACCTACAATGTATTTTCCCTATGTATAGCTTGCAAATGAAGGTACGGTATAAAATTAAATTATCTTAAAAGAATGTACATTCTGATATACCTACCATAAATAGCAAATTAATTTAATATTTGAAATATATTTGTCATCGATGTCAGAAATATTAATCAAAATTTATGGTTTAAAAAAATAAAATGAAGATATTTGGAAGTAATGTTTTTTAGAATGGAAAGTTATAAATGCTAATTAAAAAAAGGATTAAATAATGGAATAGAAGAATGGAAGAATTAATTCAAATTAACATAGACTTAGCGGTACCAATTCTGAAGAACTGTTTTGCTAGCTATAGTGTAAAATAAATAAATAAATAAATAAATAAATTATACAACGTTGTACAATGTGATACAAACTTGTACAGATAATTTCTAAAATATTATTTCAAATGTTTTACAGTACGTACCTACAACGCGTTTGTATAAACTATAAAGTTATACTTACTTATAAAAACATTAATAGTTTCCTCATTGCACCCCCAATCTCTTAAAATATGGGAAACATCCATTTTCTTCTAATAATTCACAATTTTAAGGTTATACGCTTATACGAGGCGGACGACACAGAGAGAAAGAACACATTTGGCGGCCCTAAACTGGTATAGCTTGGGTGGGGGTATTTACCTATTCCGATATAAAAAGATCTCCGAAATATATGTTTAATTTAAATAAAGCGAAAAGATTTAAGTTGAATAGAAATATATGCCAAAAATATATGTTTAAATCTCAATTAAGTTGATTTTTTTATTTAAAATAAAGAAAGAATATTTAAAATTATTTAAACTAAAGATATGTGATAATGATTTTTAACATTTCAATAAAGTTCCGCCTAAAATACTATATATTGTTATTAACTATAAATATATTAAAAATAAACATATTATATTTAAAACCAAGAAATATTTTAAACATTATTTAATTTTAAAACAATTTAAAAATTCTGTTTAATTTAAAAATTATATTTTTATTACAAACATAAATTTTTAAGAATAGCGTTATATTTAACTTAAATAAAGCAGTTTTATGTGTGTATTGTTTCATTATTATTTTCCGGTTCAGGAATCTGTATTTTAGTACAATTCAAACAAATAAAATGAATATGCTTGCAAATAACTGCTCTAATGTAAAAATCAACACACGAACTCTCATACATATGAATGCAAATATGACAGTATTTACAAAACCATTGACAGCAGCTACTTGATTTTTTTTTATTATAGTGTAATTTTTTGATGCTCCATATCAGTTATCTTTATAACATCTTCGTTTTGATACTGGATGTTATATTTTATCACATTTAGCGCAACCCTATGCCTGGAATGAATCAAATTCATGTGCTCTGTTAATTTTCCTTTTGCAAGTTTGATAATTCTGTCAATCTTGCACATATTTTTCAAGAGCATGAAGACTTTTATTCAACCGTTTAATTTTTTTTTCTCCCAAATATGTATATTTAATTACTTATTGCATGATTTTCTATAGCAATATGCCCATTGTAGTATGCTTTTAAAAAGCATGCATTTTCTTTGTTGATTCTTCCATTTGTAAAAGCCTTAAAAAACTGTCATATTCTTTTTCGAATAATTTGGAATCTAAATGCCTCTGTAAATATTTTAATGTTTTGTAGACCCATTTGCGTTTGTCAGGATTTTTAACCTTTGAAAGATTTTGTTGCCAGGCACGATCAATGTGCCATGAGCAAAAGAGGCGAAATTTAGTTGGTCCCATTATAGTTTTCCAAGAATTGTAATATACATTTGTTATATCTGACATAAATACCTTCGCAAAAATCTTATGCCTAATACCATTTAAAATACAACTAAAAAATACTTCATATAAAAAAGAAACGCTACAGGAAAATCTTCTCCAAATTCATCTATTACCAAAAGGGTAACTTCAAAATCGTAACAATACAAATCATGGTTCCCATTTATACACACAATATTAGAACCAAACTTCTCAAGCATGTCTTTTTGGTTTGGATACATCAATATTAGACAAAAATCTTTCATTAAAAAATTGTAACCCTCAAAACATTTTTTTTTTTTAATAATAAAACAGGATTTCCAGAAGTACCTGAGTACTCTTTAACAAAGAGGGAAACACTGGTACCATCATCATAGGTGTACATGTATGTACATGCATGTACTTTAAGGTATTTCATTACTTTTAAAAGTATTTAAATACTATTTGTTTTGGAAATATTTTTAAAAAATTTAAATACTTTTTGGATAATTTTTTTAAAGTATACTTTATAATAAATGTCTTCATAATAATGATAATAATAATAATATGCCAATTTTACCTTGTAGCTGGTACACCTGACATTAATTTTGATGCAACCTCATTTCAAAATCGCACATGTTGAATTTGAGTTTCATGGTCATAATGATAATAGATAACATCACACTTCATTGTCTTCATATTTTTTTTAACAATAATTTGGCTCAAACAACCTTGATTAATTTTTGCGAAGCCTTGACTTTTCAAATTACCTTTTTGGTCAGTTTCCATCTTAATCTTTTTGGTTCCTAAAATCATTTAAAAAATAATATAATACTTTTACTCCATTTATTTTGCTGTTACCTGTATATACATAATATTCTAAAATTCTAAAACCTAAAATGTTGTAGGTATATTATAACCCCTTACCACTTCTATTAATACACTTAAACAAAACTCTACAGCCTTCACGATACTTATAAGGACCAACATATTTCCCATACTGTAGAGACTTGGGCTCAACTTTATGCACATTTCTCGTATGATGATTTAAAGTGGACTGAATGGAAAACATTTTTTTACACAACAGACAGGCATTTTTTAAATTTAAAAACAAAATCACAAACAGAATAACCTAGCTTTAGATACTTTCGAATTTAAAATTTTAAACTCACCACTACATTTGAATGTGGAGCCATATTTAGTTCATGATTTTTTAGATTTTTATTGTATTTGTATTTCTTATAACCAGTCGAGGTTACCGACAAAGTTTTTATTGAGTAAAAACAATAAAGGAATAAACCCATTTTAATTACCCAGGTAGAACTAGGATAACTTTTTGGTGGCCCAAATCCAACATCAAAATGTCAACTGCTGACTTTTGGACTGTCCAAAATGTTGCATTTTTGTTATCCGAAACTATTACTAATGTCTGTTCTTTGCATAACTTTCCGATGTACAAAATGTTAGCCTATTGTTATCTAGTGACAGTCCCATTGATAACCTCATAATGATGACGTATTGCTATCCAAATAAAGGATGCCTAAATAGCTACTTGTTTGTTATCTGAATGTCAACTTATTGAGTGCACAATATTGTAGCATAATGTTAACCAATTGCTAGCATAAAAATGTCATCCGAATGGTATCTTTTTGTATGCTGTGGAGAGGGCAGGGGAGAGAATCTAGAATAAATTATTTATTCATGCAACTAATGCAATATATGTTGATTTTCTTCTTCCAATTAAAATTTTACACAAAAAATTGTATTGATATAAATTTGCAATAATTATTATGATTAATAAGATAGTTTTTAATTGCATCTTGATAATATGAATTTGAAATTTACATTAATCCATTTTTTAAACCTTCAATTGATAGGAGAGAAATAACATAATATTGCATCAATTTAACGTGAGCATTTTGTATAAATAATTTAAAATGAATTCTAACAATACAATTTATAGGTGAAATAACAAAATATATTCTTAATCTAAATTTATATACAAAACAACACATATTATTATCATACCACGCAGACACCCTGTACATTTTTTTTGTAATAATTAATATACAGGGTGGCCGATTTATCTGAAGACATTGAAATATTTCGAAAACTATGCATCGGATCAAAAAAAGTTTTGAATAAAATTTGTTCGCCTGGAAGGGGGACATCCAATGATACCAAAGTCGACCCCTCACCACCACCCCATGGGGTGGGGGTGGGGGCAACTTTAATATTCTAAATAGGAACCCCCATTTTTTATTGCAGATTCGGATTTACTATTAAAAAATAAGTAACTTTTATGGAAAAACTTTTTTTTAAATTCCTGATAGATGGCGCTGTAATCGCGATTTTTGGGAATATCTTGAAAAATTGCAGATTCGGATTTCCCATTAAAAAATATAATTAGTGTATACGAGAATTGTAAGGGAATTCAAAATAAATTAAATTAATTAATTCCTTTTGATGTTCCCATGTTCCCATGGCCATGGGGTGGGGGTGGGGGCAACTTTAATATTCTAAATAGGAACCCCCATTTTTTATTGCAGATTCGGATTTACTATTAAAAAATAAGTAACTTTTATGGAAAAACTTTTTTTAAATTCCTGATAGATGGCGCTGTAATCGCAATTTTTGGGAATATCTTGAAAAATTGCAGATTCGGATTTCCCATTCTTGGGTAATTTTAAAAATAGATGTTAACTTATTGATATACGAATAAAATCCAAAAATTAAACAAGTTTTTCTTTTTTTCGATCCGATGTGTAATTTTTTAAGATATTCCCAAAAATCGGGTTTCTTGCGATTACAGCGCCATCTATCAGGAATTTAAAAAAAGTTTTTCCATAAAAGTTACTTATTTTTTAATAGTAAATCCGAATCTGCAATAAAAAATGGGGGTTCCTATTTAGAATATTAAAGTTGCCCCCACCCCCACCCCATGGGGTGGTGGTGATGGGTCGACTTTGGTATCATTGGATGTCCCCCTTCCAGGCGAACAAATTTTATTCAAAACTTTTTTTGATCCGATGCGTAGTTTTCGAAATATTTCAATGTCTTCAGATAAATCGGCCACCCTGTATAACATAGTTTAAATGCATATAGTGATTTTAAAACAACCAAAAAGAATGTGACATTTTTATCTTACAAGATGATAGAGACTGTAAACAAAAATATCTCTGATGGCTCCTGTAAAGAATATTGTTTAAATATTTCAATTACAAGTAAGTACTTATTATATTATGGGTGACAATTAGGCCAATTCACTAACATAAGTTGTTAACGTTAGCCACTAGAATAAGTGGTTATCGTTATATTTAAACGGCCCGATTGGCCGGATTGCCCGGTAACCACTGATTCTAGTGGTTAACGTTAACGACTCATGTTAGTGAATTGGCCTGAATATATTAAAAAATAATTAAAATATTTAAACAATATTCTTTGTTTTTTTGTCTTCCTTCTTCCATCGATCACCCGATCGTCTCAACCAATCCTCCACGCATGACTTAACATCACTTTTTGGTATTTGGCAATCATGCCACAGACCATCTGTAAAAAGAATCAAGTGCATAACATCGTAATAGCTCTATTTTAGAGAAAACATTTCAATGGTAAAGGAAAAAAATCTCACCATAAAGAATTTTCATGATATTTGTATTTTCAAATCCCCATTCTGCGTTGCCTTTTCCACTCCATGAAATTTTTGTTCCCAATTTATTGGTCATTAAGGCTTTCATTACTTCAGATATAGTCTTTTGAGCGAAATTTGATTTCTTTCCTTGGGCTTTAAGTGAACAAATAATTGAACGCTGTTGAAAATATTTCATAATCAAACAATGCGACATTCTTTTTTATGTTCAAGACCAAAAAAGATTAAAACTTACAAATTCCGCACAAAAATCTTTTTTTTCAGCAAGTTCTACATCAAATTCCTGGATATCCTTTAATTTATCAAAAGGCATCCCTAGGGTAATATTCGAGCTTTTTGGCTGAGAACGACCATCACCACAATTCTTGACCCGCTTCAATACTTCGCGCACCATTTTTTCAATATTCTGAATGGATGTGCGGCAAAGAGCTGTAAATTGACATTATTAATTATATAAATTGCATTACAACCACAATGATCAATATAGTATAATACATACCACAGCATAAATCATTGTGTCCCACGTTGCTTTGATTATGACTTGACATTTTAGCTGCAGGCTCCTGTGCGGGATGATCATCTGCCTGACGTTTAGCATTGTAAATGTCTCTCAGACGTTCAGATTGAGTAATTAATTGTTCTTCGTTATCTATTAAGACAAAAAATAAAATATCGATTAGACAATGAGACAAAATCATCATAATATTTTTAGAGTAGGTATTACAAGTACAAAATGTATATACCTTCGTATGCGTCCTCTACAATATCGGACGTGACTGGCAATCCGTCGGCGACATTCAATTGATATGTTCGAAGTGATTTTAATTGTTCAGGCGTGAAATGTGCCACGGAAATAATAGACCCATTAAGTGTACGAATATTTGAAAGTTTAATGGTAGTCATTTGTTTACCTGGGGGCAATTGAAATCGAGCTAAATGACCCAAAGAAATATTATTATTTTGTACAGTGGTATCACTCATATGATAAGGTATGCAATTAGATAAACAATACCTGTCTTATTTGCAATTTCTTTGTCCATGATTTAGAAACTGACAATTTCTTAACTAAAAAAACCAAAGGAACCAAACGAAGCTTACGATTTCTGTAAACATACATGGAGAGAAATTTTTAGTAATGATTACTGAAAAATCAAATAAATTGGGAACAGCTTGGGCATTTTAAAAATGAGTGCTAGTGCACATTAAAACTTAAAAAAATAATAATACAAATTGAATTACAATAACTGCAATAATAAATGCCAAACATTGTTTAAAAATGAAATATTAATATGTTGGTTAGTATATTAAACTAATAATATATAGAATGATAAGTTTAATAAACATTACACTTATATTAAACTATTACTATATAGAATAATGTGTATAATATAATAAGTGTTTTGTTAATTAACATATCATTCTATACCTGTACCCCAGAGCCAAACTGTATTAAGTCCATCACAATACACATTTTTTGCCTATATTTTTTCGCTCTTTTTAATGGTAAATAGAATTAAGTCCTGGCTTACTTAGATTTCTGATGTATCAAAAACTAAGTAAGCCAGGACCTAATCCTATTTACCATTGGAGCGGAAAAATGGAGGCAAAAAATGTGTTACGTGATTTTTAAAAAATGAACTTAATACCTACAGTTTTTTATTCACTTATCATGAAATTTCAATACAATAGCTTTGTTCGCGGAGCCCATCCATGACTAGTTCCGTATCTGTATAGGGTAAATAATCACGAACCATGCTACGCATGCGCGATTCGGAACCGATCAAGAATTAACAAATCTCCGCGAACGCGTTTCTAACTGCAACCATCAGTCAGCTGTTTTGTGACAAAACTTTTTGGGGAATCTCCTTCTTGATAATTATAGTATTCAGAATTGCTAAATCGCTCTGCTAAATCATCAACAATCTCTTTGCTAACTAGAAAATGCTCCCTAAATAGCTGATCATCGAACATGGGAACAATTTCTTCAAAATATGCAGTATTTTTAGGAACTTCAATTAAATCTAAACTATTTTCTAAATCTTCATCACTGGATGATAATCATCTATAAAATAAGCAAGGAAATGAACAATGCAAGTAAAAAATAAGTATTTCAACTTACGTTTTCGTTTAACAATTTAATTAAAAACAATATAGAACATATAACCTAAAATAAACTTTAAACAATAATGAACAATACGCATGTCTGACAGCTAGAACATGCTAAAATCCTCGGATCGTTTTGACTTGTCAGTAATTAGTTCGAAACTGGTCCCGAAGGCTCCGCGAACGAGTGATCAAATGTCAAATGTTGTCGATTTTTACACCGCGAACGCTAAAATTGCCAGTGCGCATGCGCAGTTGTCGCGGATTGATCACGGATGAGCTCCGCGAACAAAGCTAATAATCAATTATCGGTATGGATTACTGACAACACGTAGACACAATTGTCTGCAGATACAGAAAAACCTTTTTGTTTAATTTGATCCATCGGCCAAGCTAATTCCTCAGACCATTTAGTAACTTCAAAAATTCCTACTTTACGTGAATCACAGGAATAATCTTCTAATCCATCAGAATTGACAACTTTACGACCAACAATGACAGGACATCCATCTCGATAACAAATATGTTGGATAAAGACGATAGTTTGATCTTTTAGGATACAGCAATTATCAGGTGTACGAGTGGACAACTTGAAGTTGGGAAACTCGATAAATTGAAAAGCATTTTCATACCCAACTGGCATTCGACTAGTTTTCTTTTTACCGTAAACGCGAAAACTCGAAGTCAAAGATGAAAAAGGTGCTGGCAAAAATTTGGAACGTTCTTGTACTCTGTTCATTATCTGAGATAAAGGCAATTTGCCAGATTTTATTAGATTTCTCATGACTCCTAAATGATTTTCGAATGGAAAACAACTGAATGCATCAAGAGGTCCATATCTCAAAACATCTTGAGATACATGAATCAAATTATGAACGTTGAATATTAAATGCTGTTCATTGTATAGAGTATCGACTTTCATCATTTCGACAAAATAAACCAAAAGTTCATGGGCATATTGGTTATTAATAATATGTTGCTTGAGATTGCAAAGTATACGGACTGCACAATTCAATGCATTAAAATGAATGATTCTAGCTTTACTTAGGAAGAACCGAACAACGATAGGACCTGTATAAAAGAAATAAACGGAATTCAGTAGCCTTAAAAAAATGTATTTCGTCGAAAGATCTGGGTTTGCGAACGAATTCCGCGACTGTGCAAAAGATAAATAACATTGATTAAGGCAGTCAAGTTGAGGTGGTCTCAACTCCGAAACCCAAATTCCAAGTAACTTTTTCATCACACCAAGACACAACAAATGCATATAATCAAGTGGAAATTGAGTGGTCATGCTAATATTAATTGATTCTAATGGGGATACAAATGCATATAATCAAGTGGAAATTGAGTGGTCATGCTAATATTAATTGATTCTAATGGGGATACAGAATTGCGAAATTTTGGTGGTAAACCCATTCTAAATGTCAAGTCTGTACGCAATTCAGAATCCGTTTCTAAAAAAAGTCGTCGATGATTTCTTGTTACACCTTCTTGAACACATTTGGCGCAACGACTGCAGGGAAAGATTGTAAAAAATTTTGCGCTGGTGTGTCTGCTAAAAATGCTTTTATATGTAACTTAAATCTACATTTATTAAAGATAAACCCTCGTTGTGAAGAACGACATATTCAGCCATAAAATCGACAAGAAATTCATGAAGTGATTCAGGTTTGGACGACCCGCTAAAAATTGCGATTACAAAAGGTTGTAATAGTCTTGGATAATCAATGATTCTCCCTAAAATAGGCCATAATTCGTTCTTAGAACTTTTAGAAATCCTTAGTCCATCAACATTTATGTTAATATATAAATCTGTTGAAATTATTGACATATCAATGTGTTGCATTTGATCAATTAAAGCTCGTTCTATACCATAATAAGCAAATAAACCTGTACCTAGGGCTCGAATCTCAGTGTTTCGTCTGAAAGTTTGAACAAGAGATTTTGCTGTTAATGGAAAACCCTTAATTGATCCCTTAGTTTTTAAACCATGCAACAGCTCACTAGTTGCAGATTGACTAATTTTATTTTTTAAATGCCAAAATCGAAGAAAGTTTTTTAATCTAGATGCCACAGATGGTTCAGGTTCTTTATTTTCGTTATCTAAACCAACATGGAAAAATTGTTTTTCATGTACTAAAGTAGGTTCAGGATTTACATCTAAATTTACAGGTGCATCATTACGCTGATGTGATTTTGTATCGGACAAAGGATCTGCTAAATTTTCCTCAATTCTTTGAACAACTTGAACTTGGGCATCATGAGCTTGTGCATAAGGTAAAACTAAAAGATCCTCTTGCCGCAAAATTTCGAGGCGTCGGAGTTGTTGTCGTCGTGTTAAATTTAAGAAACTTTTCTTCTTTCGCGGTTTTACACAGTCCATAATTACAATTTTATAAAATAATATTTGTTAAAATGCACATAACCTTCTTGATCGTCCTGATATCAGCTGACAAATTTAAAATAAACACTCACCAGTTAATTAAATAACACCACAAATTAATGCTAGCATTAATTATAGTATACGAGCACGTATAAATTAATTATTAATAACTATTAAACAAATAAATGATTTTATCAAAAATATCTTATAAGAATTGACACCAAACTTTCGCATGCGCAATAATCTCTAAAATAGCGGGAAAGCGCTTGACGAAAACTTGTCGTTATGCTAACTTTTTGTAAATTATCTAAAAGTTAACAATAAATCGTTAGAAATTAAGTAACGGCTCAAACGACTTGTCCAAAAAATGACAACAAAATGTTAGCGCAAAAATGTTACCAAACTGTTTTGTTGAAAATGATATCTTATTGATAACAAATGTCTATATAAAAAAACTGACAAATAAATGTTGTCCATTAGACAGTATGCCAAATGGATATATCCTTTATGTTATCAATAAACCATCTTTCCGACATATATATTTAGTTATCTATTAGAGGTTATTCTTATGATGACATTTTTAAGATGACTCGCAGATATATACTATCTCATAACATTACGATATCATTCGGATGAATCGATAAGGCGACATTTTTTTGCTATCAAAACGCTATCTTTCCGATTCGTGTTCTACCTGGGTATTTAGGTATCTATAACGATCATAACATTTGGCAACACTGCGGACGGTATGCTGTCTGCACGCCTTCCTGTCCGCTTAGATGCTGTAGCATAAACGTAGGCAATTTGCAGTACAGGCCGGTGCACTTTTAGTTGCATAATGAATTAACTAATTCATTACAGTCAATTTAAGAGGAGCGACTCAAAGCAAGATGGCGTACCAATGCTGCCACTAATGCAGTTGTTTTATTTTTTAATATTATTTGAGGAATCTAGTACCAAACTTACTTTTTATGAATATTTTAATAAAATATGTTTTCGGTATAAAATTTTTGACTAATGGATGGTTTATAATGGAATTAACCATATTCTTAAATCCGCAATCTCTTATCTGTATTCTCGTAAAAATGGCTTGCGGTTTATAATGGGAAATATTCTCTAATCCGCAATCTCTTATCTGTATTCTCGAAAAATTGGATTGCGGTTTATAATGGGAATTAAAAATTGCAGACATCTGTTTTTTTTTGTATCAATCTTTTTGATGATTATAACCATAGACATCTATGATTATAACCTCTAATATTGACAGTTGACGTAAATAGCACCTAATTTACCTCGTGATTTACAAAGAAATAATTTCTTTGGTGTCTTAAGGTAAGATAATGTGAAGTTGTTATTAATATTACATTTTACTAGATAAGTTTTAGTTGTCGTTTTATAAAAAGAGATGAATAAAAATAAATGGTGAAGACGAACTTGTAGCAGTCGGTTTATCTTAACCATTATAACCGCTGATGCTGTGGCCTCTTTTAACTACTTGTTAAGTCTAATTCAACATAGACTAACTAAAAGAAGTCAGCGGAAACTGTTTCAGAGTGGGAAAAAGTACAGTGTCGATTGTTGTTCGTTAGACGTGCAATTTGGGAAGTTTATCTAAAAAAAAAATATTGTGGAGGACTGGCTACGCATTTCACAAGGTTTTGAGAAAAGGTGGAATTTGCCGCACTGCTGTGGTGCCTTGGACAGCAAGCACATTACCATTCAAGCCCCTAAGAAGTCAGGAACTACTTTCTTCAATTACAAAGTTTTTTAGTATAGTTTTAATGGCAGTGTGTGAGGCCGATTATAAATTTACGCTAGTGTATATCGGTGCCTTTGGCTCCCAGAGTGATTGAGGTGTTTTTGGAATTTCAGCTTTTGGTAAAGCTGCCTGAAGCTGACACCTTGAGAAGCACACAACTGCATTAACCATACTTTTTTGTTGCGGATAAGGCTTTCCCTCTGAAATAATATATTATGAGACCGTACCCTGGCCGCTACTTAAGTATACGAAAAATATACTCAATTATAGACTGTCTAGAGCACAATTAAAAATACATTAGGCATTTTAGCTTCTCGTTGGAGGATATTGCGACATAATATCATTGCTGAAGTAGATACAATTGAGAAAATTACAGCGACCACAGTTATTTTGCTTAATTTTTTAAGGGCACATTAGGCCTCCAAACCGTACATAGCTATTGCCCACCTGGGTTTGTCGATTCAATATGACCTAATAATGAGATCATACCAGGAACTTGGCGACTGGAACAATTAAACTGCCCACAGAAAATTGGAAGAGTTGGTGCGAATAACTCTGCAAGAAATGTATTGGCAATAAGAGATCGTATGGCCCAATATCTACAAAATGAATAAATAAAAAGCTTTTCATTAATTTTTTTTTATTTTTATTTTTTACATTGGTACTTATTTATTTTTTTCGCGGATTTTATTGCATTTCAAGTTCACTTAAATATTTATCCAGAACTTTCCATTTTGCATAACCGCGTAGTAAATCTGCTACCAAAGAATCACAAAAACTTTGCAGAGAAGAAGCGCTACTACTAGACGTACTTTTTGATTTTACAAATGATTCAAATGCGTCAACGCTTTATTTAAGGTGTCTTGTATAGAGCAACTTTTACCACGAGGAGTATACCTGACAGCAGATTGTGCAGATGATGCTCTGCTGGTTGATGTTGTAGATGTTTTGGCCAGTATCCGTATTAAGCATAAAAATATCTGGAATATCCACTTGCGATAATTCATCGTCCGTACCTGGATCTTCCAAGTAAGTTGAAGCTTCATCATTTGCCACATTATCAAATGTGCGCCGCCTTTTCACCACCGTATCCAAGAATTGTAAATATTTGTACAGGGGCCACTCCGGTTTGCCACTGCATGAGCCGGACTTCAATACTTTGGACCGTTCCTTTGAAAAACGAGCCCGCAACGAGGCCCATCTTGCTTGGTAATCCAACACTAAAGTTGGATGAGATATTATTAGTATTTGTTGTTAATTTGCCGATTGTTTTTCATGAATTTTTTGACATATAATTTATATATAATTTATATGATATAAATGTGGAAATGTTTTCACCAGACTGATTAATTTTTCGTCCATTACAACGAATTTATAGATTTGCAAAACAAATAGGTTATAAATCACATTGACAGACAAACAGCACACTTTAACCTTTAATCGCATCCCATTGGTTGAAAATAATCCGTATTCTCTTAAACATAAAAGCGAACTTTGCGGTACAAGATTACGGTAAGAGATTAGCGCCATTGATTATATACCATAACATTATAAATAAATGTTTAAAGAATAGTGGTTTGTAAAACATCCATAAGAATAGTTTTTATTAATTTTCTACAAAACATAAATGTAAATTTTGAAACTAGACCCCTCATTTTGTACAAGTTTTTCTCTTTATATGGGTACTTACCTATCTAAAAAATTACAATCAGGTTTATTTTTTACTTTGGAATAAGAAATAAAAAAATAAACTGTTTTAAATTTATTTCTGCAAAATGTACAATATAACAAAATATAATTTATTTATTATTTTTTTTAGTTGAACGGAAAAAAATTGTTTCGATATTTTTTTTATTTGCTGGTTCCCTAACACACATTTTATTGTTTTATATTGTGATGGTACACTTATTATTATTATTACTTTGTTTGAGTAGATTTTCACAATTTTTTATATTACTCAAAACCATTTTTAACTGGTCTTGTAAATAATCATTAATTTTGATAGTATTCATCAATTGCATACCTCTAATGGTAATTCCATTTAATTATTTTTGATTGGAACACATTTTTGTTGAAACTTGTTGAACAAGATTATCCAGTTCTTCATTATGTGGAATGAAGTGATAAGTGTCCTTTGGAGGACAATATGGGGCTCACACAAAAATAGACTGATTAGTGTATAAAATGCATAATCTACATTGGATTGGTGAAGTTTTAAAAGATTTCCACAAAGGATGGTCGAATTATTAGAAGATTAACTAATTATGAGCAAACAGCCAGTAGTGCATGGTCGGTTTTTTTTTCTATTTTTTTTTGCCTTTGAACTGCGTGTCATGATTTTTTTGTGTTTAGAATATTTATAGTGTATTAAAAGTGACTTCCGTTGCGCGGGTGATATAAAAATTAACTAAAAAGAAGAATAAAATATGGAGAAGCTATAGGTTATCCCAGACTCGCTTTCTCCAGTACCTCTGAAAAGATAGAAGATTCAGCTGGCCAAATCCCGGAAGGGAAAAGACAAACAAAGAAGAAGAAAAAGAATTGTTCCAACAACATCTTAAGAAAAAATATTTAATTCACATAAGAATTTTTCCTGATGGTAAACATGAAAGCAACTGGTAGTCCTGCATGTACATATACTACTCATATAATATATTTTTTAGATTTTATCTTTATAAATTAGAAATTAGATTCAAAGACCTGATCTTATACAGTAAATATATATTTTTCCTGTCGAGCCATCATTAGGTGTTTTAGTTCCAGTTCTTCTAGAGTACTGAACATTGTTTTTCTTCTCTTCTTGGTTTAACAAAGTACTGAAATCTTAAAATATATATTGATAACGGCATTTTAATTGTTTTATGTATAATTATTTACCTTCAAAACACGAAAATTTAGTATCGATGTCCTGACTTATCTTTAAATGTTTTATCTTTAAATGTTTTCTAAGCACTTATAATTGTACTTTTCCTTAAAATATTCAATTAGAAATGAATTCAAATTGTGCTTTTCTTCACGATATCTGTTTAAACTGCTCTGACACGTAAATTGTTTTTCACATATCAATCACACTACCGCCATTTTTATTCTTCAATAAGACAAATTACTTAAAGAATCGCAGACCTTAAAGTTTACAGTTCACGCGCATAAAAAAAGAAGTTTTAGTTAAGGTGTTTAAATTGAAAAGTCAAAATGAAATGTGGCCACATTGGTGTATTCTGCTTTTAATCCCTCCTCAATTTAAGTATTTTATAATTAAACAGTGGCAAAGCGTTTGGGTAGACCTACCAAAATAATTTTAACCAATTATAAGGTTGAGTATTTTTATTTTACCATTTAGTTTTTCTAAAGTTTTGTCCACAGAAAACTATAATACTCGTATGTATACAAATGCCTGAAAGCGGATAAAAGGTAATAAATAAAACAAGTTTATTTTAATTTTATATTTCTTGTAATCATTTTTTTTTTTTTCATTTATAGGGTTAAGTTTTATTTAACATTGTTTTTTTGATCCTTAAGGATCTGTTTTATGTAAATTATTTCACCTGTATGGGTAAGGTCACGCCGTGGTGAGGTTTATGCAAACAATTATATTTGGATCCGTAAGGATCTCTGTTATTTCATACTTTATTCGTAGGAATGAGTTTTTGACCCGTTTAGGACCCGTAGGTAAACTTTTTAATTTTTACAAAAAATGCAATTATTATAGACAGGTTTTGAAAATTTTTAATATTTTTATAAAATGGATGATTATTAAATCCACAATAAAGACATATTTCTTTCACGGTAGAAGATGTTTTTAATAGTAAGGTTTTTATTTGGTTTCTATAACTGTTGGGATTAAAATTTTATAAAAAATATTTTCTTTTAATAAACATTGCGTATAATAAAGTACAAAAATACCACAATTGTAGGAGTCTTTTTGAGTTGGAATATCATAGCTAATTGTTGTATAATTTAAGGGTTTTTTAAATTGTGGAAATTTGTTGTTGTGTTTTTTTATAAAATTTTAAAATTGTTTTTTGCATTCTATATTTTCGTGTGGAATTGAATCAAAATGTGAAAATGTTCTATTTTCAAAGTCTACATAAATTAACGACCAGTGTGAATGATTTTCATTAATTGGGAATAATAATTTGGTTGCTAAATTAATAGACTTTACAAACCCTGTTTGCATTGTTTCAAATACACAATTACCTTCGAACCACGACCAAACAGCCCAAGAATCCAAAGATTCATTATGGGACCCATATATTTCCAAAACAAAGCCTATTAAAGTATTGTCCAAGCCAACCATCTCGCGTAATAGCAATGTTTGTTTTCAAGGTCAAAAATTATTCTGATAAAACTTATTTAACCCTTAAATGCATGATTTTTTATTTTTGTCAGAAAAAAATACCTTTAAGTATAATATGGGATTGAGATCAAAGGAAAAATAATAAAAAAAATTAATTCAGCTTTTTAATTTAAAAAAATTAAAGAAAAAAACGTGTATCACATATGATACACTGCGTATACGTAGTAATATATTCAAGTGTTATTTCTCATGAAATGTACGAAAACAATTAGACTTTTGGTTAAAACAAAGGCTTAATTTGCACTTAGAACATACTACAAAAGTTAGACTTTTGCACGTTGGATTTTTGCACCTTCCCCTATTTGCCCTCCACTCAGGCCAATGATCGGTCGAATCTTTTCTGACGTCTACTGGTGGTACAACGGTGGCTGGATTTCGCCTTTTTTTAAATTCTAGGGCATTTTGTATTCCATTTCTTGATGGTCGGCCCCGTTTTGTTGACTTTTTTCCAATTGTACACAAGGTTTGGGAAACTTCAATCCTGAAACTTTTTTTTTTTTCATTTCAATGCCGGGTTACTATTGTTAATAACTGACATAACTGGATTAAAATTATTGTTCATAATAAACAAAAATGTATGGTTAATGAATGTATCTATTTTGTTATGACTCTTAATAAAAAGTGGATTTTTAAGACAAATCAAACGAATACCTCCCTACTGTTAAAACTGCTTAAAAACAAATTAAAACCAATAATAAATAAATAAAATATACTTGAACAAAAACTTAAACGTGCAAAACTACCCTTAAACATATGAGGAACATAGGCTTGTGGGGTATCAAACAATATTTTTTTTTATTTTAATGTAAATCACATTTTCATTAATATTTTCGTAATCCACGCAAAAAATCACGTAAAATGAGTACCAACATCGCTATGTTTGGACAAAAAACAAAAAAGTTGAACGTGCAAAACTACCCTTACGAAACAAATTTTAGATACAAAGTTTCAAAATTTATTTGGTTTAAACTTAAAAAGAAGTATTAAAAATGGTATATTAAAATAATAATTATTATGCAGTAGTGCAGTTAATAAATTTGACCTTAATATTAAAAAAAAAGTGTGCACGCGGCTTTAAATGTGGATGAAACCAAAGGTTTTCCTTTTTTTTGTGAAAAAATTGGTGGTTCTGAAAAGAACCGGTTTTTTTTTTGGAGGGCCGCTTATTGATTGATTAATCAATTGATTGATTATTGAATCTGTCTCGGAAGTACAACCTTCTACGAATGGCGTCTAAAATTTCTTCCCAATATATAAATTCCAGGTTTGTCTCTTCGGAGATCCCGCCATCGCTGGAAGAAGAGTCCTGTGTGTCCCCGCCAGAGTTGTAGTTACCCTCGACACTCCAGTTCTCTTCTTCCACGACCTCCTCTTCTTCAGCGACCAACTCTTCTTCGGCTACTTCCTCAGCCTCCTCCTCGCCACCAAAACCATTCTCCTGTCCCTCCCCATCCCCATCCCCATCCCCCTCCCTATTGGGTTGTTCTTCCTCGTCAGAGGAAGAATCGCTCACCTCTTCTTCCCTAAACCGCTTGCAGTGGAATTCCTCCTCATCACACATCTTTCTTTTGCACATTTTCGAAATCAAAAATCAAACCTCTCGGCTTGAAAGACGATTGCTAAGTGAGAAAAATCCTGCCAAATCGAGAGAAACGGTGAGGCAGCGGGGCGGCGGCGTTTTTCAAAGGCGGTACGTGCCTTTGAGTCTGCGTCGGCGCTACTTCAAAGTAGTACGCAAGCGTAGGGGATTTTTAATACAAAAATGGGTTAATATTATTCCGTTTTTATTTAGGACATAAGTGGTCGCGCTGGTCTCCTAGACCGGGTAATTTAAAAAAATGTATTATTAACAAAAATGTTTTTTTTGTTAGGTATTATAAAATCATGTAATATTTATAGGTTTTTAAATGAGAATTAGATTTTTTATTATTTAAAAAAGCATATATTTAAGCCATTTAACATAAAATTAAGCATATGATACTTTAACTTAAAGAAAAGAAATGTTAACCTTTTTGACGAACACAAAAAAATAATATATGAAAATTAAGCACAAAGACGATTATAAAACATCTTTACGACAAGTTGGACAAATAACCAAAACGTGTTCTAAACACATAAATGTACACTTAAAACAAGAATACTTTGTTTTTCGATTTTTTTTCCTGTCACAATAAGCGCATCGACCTGGTCTAACATTTTCTTCTGCTGGTGCGTGGGCTGGTGAGTCGCAAAAATCAAGTAAACGGGCTCTTAAACTTTGTGGAAGGTTGGTCTGGAGTGCCCGGACTTTCAAATGGGAGCCAATAAGTTCTTCGGACAATTTCTTCAGAAATTCTTCTGGAGTAATTTTTTTCTGGATTGTTAGAGAAATACACGACTTGTGAGTTAATCCCAGCAATGTTTAGAATCTGATAAAATAATATCATTGGCCATCTGCGAGTATTTCTTGAGCAATTATAACTTGCGATCAGTTTGTCCACGACATCAACTCCGCCTTTTGTTGAGTTATAGGCGGTGATAATCTCCGGTTTCTGTTTATCCCCAGTACTTTCATCTATATCGTCATGATGATGCATAGTGGAGAGCATCTTTTTTTTAGGTATATATGAGACAATGGTACAGTCTTCAGTAAAACCAAACACACTAGTATGTACAGGTCGTTTTACAGGATTTGAAAAATTTTCTGGTAATTCCCTTTTATTTTTTCTAAGAGTCCCAAAACAAGTAATTTTGTAGTGGCTTAGTAATTTTTTAGCTAATGGAACTGATGTAAACCAATTATCCATGGTTAAGTTTCGATTGGAGCCTGCAATATGTTTACAAGATCTAAGCACTACATCTTCTGGTTTATTGGATACTTGGAATGGCCCTTCTGGTTGCGTTCCAACATAAACTTCAAGTTTTGATGTATAAAACATACGAGCATCACACAACGCAAATAATTTAATTCCATATTTATTCGGCTTTGAGGGAATATATTGCTTGAAGCTACATCGCCCTCTAAAACCAGGCAACATTTCATCTATTGTAATGTACTCAGACATATGATATCCTGTTTGACAGTTTTCAACAAACGTATCAAATAGATTACGGATTGGAGCGAGCTTGTCAGTCTTTTTCCTTTCTTCACGTGTATTTTTGTCGTCGAATCTGAGGCATCGTAGCAAAAATCGAAATCTCTGTATAGACATTCCAAGATGAAACATTTCCACGCCAAACCCATTTCTGTCCCACAAATCAGCAGTATTAGTTAGGGATGTCAAAAATTTTAAAAACACCGGTTTTTCGGTTAACCGGTTATTTTACTACCAGTTTTAACTGCCCAGTTATAACCGATATAAAACACCGGTTATTCCGGTTAACCGGTTTTTCGGTTATTTTTTCGAATAGGCCAGATAAATTGCATAATTTATATTAAAATGTAACATAAGTTAAATAACAACACATTGTCTACATATCTTTATTAAAAAAATATACAAAGTATAAAAAAATAAGTACTTATATCTATTTTTTAAAACTAATACATACCACAAGTAACCGCTAGGTTATCACCGGTAACTCGCTAAAAAATCCCTATTGTATAGTCAACGTAATTTTTTTTTAAGTAAAATTGTATTTTAACGTTTGCATATCATTGACATGTAAACGTAAAAATACAATTTTACGTTGACTATACAATGCCTTGTTTTCAAACGGCTGCGTTCCGCAATGAAATCTCAAAGTGGGCCTTTTTGGTGTGGACGATAGTACATAGAGCATGATTGTATTAATCTACCCAGTAGGATTTTGAAACTCTGTTCATAAATACTCTTTCCGTGACATGTGTGTCAGTAAGGCGACTTCTGTCATCCTTAACTACGCTATTTAATGTCGAAACCAATCTTTCAGATGCGACTGAGCTACCCACTACCGTTAAATATTTAATAGCAACGGACGATAAAGCCGTCATAAGTGTTTTGCTTTGGTGCCAAAATTGAATTGGGTTCTGGGTCCTGGGCAGCACAGGTTGGTGTAAATACAATTTTAGCTCACTCGGAAAAGAACTCTCTACCTCTAAAAATGACATTCCAGGTTTTTCGAGGGACTTATCGTGAATCGACCATAAAGATTCATTACTGTCGTCCTGTCGTGAAGTACTAGCAGAGCTGGGTGAAGAATAATTCCCCATTTCTTTCTGCACTTTTTTAATTTCTTCACTGATTTGCATGGCAGCCTGGCTGGCTACAACAGGTTTCATGTATATCTTCTTAAATCTGGGGTCACAAAGCAAAGCGTTGCACAGAAGTAGGTTTTTTTCAAGATGTCCACAACGTGATTCTAATGAAACTTGTAATTTTCTCAACAACATTGTCGAAATTTCGTTAGTCGGTTTTATAGTAGCCAATGCTGAGTCGATGCAGCTAATCATAGGTAACACTAAACTTCCAGTTATATAGTCACTCCCGGATATTTCGGTTGTAGCCTGTTTAAATGGCTTTAGAATATTGACAATTTCTGAAAGCAATTCTATTTCGTTACCTGACAGCATTCGAGGAGCATTTTTTAGTTTTATACTTGGACTTGCAAGGACTCGTGCTACATATGGGTATAGAGTGACAAATCTACTAAGCATGTCAAATGTAGAATTCCACCGTGTTGGAACTGATTGAATGAACAGCGTGACGTCTCCTTCTGGTACACCATCTCTCTGTTGTTCAGCCCGCAAGGCATCCATGAAATTGTTGCTGTGCCTACCAAAAGTTACGAAACTTTTGACAAGATCTATAAGTTCTTTCAAGCGATTATTATTTTTATCTTCTAAACCATCTGTCACAATTAAATTTAGCATATGGGCAAAACAATAAACGTGTTTTCCTTCCCCTAGTAATTTTCGGACTCCTGCTATCATATTTGCACCACCATCTGTACAAACAGCGATTATTTTAGATTTCGAAATATCAAAAGATTCCATCAATTCTTCCATTTTTTGTGCAATGTAGTCTCCGGTATGAGCTTCTAAAAGTCGACGCACTCCTAACATAATTGTCTCAACTTCGTTTTTTTCTGGACCTGAAACATTTTTTTTTATTTAGGATTTGGTCAGGTTAGGATAGGTCAGGTAAGGTAAGGTTAGGTGTATTTACACACATAGGGAAACGAACACCAGTCTACTGGTGGAACGAAAAGATAGCCGACAAAAGAAAAACCTGTATACAACTACCCCGGCAAGTTATGAGACAAAGGAAAAAAAACCCGACGGGCCCCCAGTGGCAGGAAACAAAAAACATGTACAAAGAAGCTAAGAAGGCATTAAAGCAGGAGATTGGTAACTCAAAAAAGAAAAAATGGATAGAGCTATGCAATGAACTAAATGACGACGTATGGGGGATAGCCCAAACCACACCTTATTCGAATGTAATAAATTTACGAGTCTAAGAAACGCGGCGGCAGAGGAGTGCCAAACACAGGAATTAACCAGGGAAAACGTTGGGGACACGATTCTCGGATCATGTGCAAATTGGATAGCTATATCTAACTGGCTGAGACAGGTTATGAGAACAAAATGCGACGACGAGCCCAAAAATAATAATTAGGCGATTGATTCCCGTTTCACCGAGATGTAATGCTGAAAGGCAGTTCCACGGTGGCTCGGAAAAGAACAAGGGGGGGTTTTAGCCGGTAAAAGTCCGGCACAACCCGGTCTGCTAGAACAACAAGACCGGGAGTCCATGAGGATTTCCCCCTCAAAAAAAAAAAAAAAAAAAAAATGTATTTACTTACATATAAAATGTGCAGTGACAACCAAGAAACCTCTGCTTGTATTGGTTAATGTGCATATGTCTGCAGTTAAACTCAGGTGTTTCACATTAATCAGTTTGGTTTTCATATTAGAAATAATTGCAGAATATCTCAGGCTAATCATCTCAGTCACCTAGGAAGCATAAAAGTAAACGATTAGAAAAGATTTTGACAGTAGGCCTACTTGAGAGATAAAATAAAGTAAAGTCAAATCTACTTACCGTGTTCCTTGAAGGTAATTTGTACAATGGTGCCACGGTTTTTATAAAGCGCCTGAAGCCTTCTTTTTCAACTATTGAATGAGGAGCATTGTCCTTACACACCATGTAGATCAGAGAATTTGAAATTGCAACATCACGATAGCCGCCTCCTATGAATAAAAGAACAGAAAGTAATTAACTTCATCTTGCAACTATTAGTCTCATAAAAATACTCACTCTCGTAACTAGCAGATCGTTGAGTTGTTTCGTAAAGCGTTGTTTGTCGTCTTTGGGAAGTCGAAGTTAAGATTTGTGAGGTTCGGGGAGACCGAGACCGTGATCTCCCCGCTCTGGAAGTTGATGGAGATCTTGCCCTGCTACTGCTTGCTGTAGAAGTAGAAGGTGAGGAAGATCTTGATCTGTTGTCCAACGATGTTGAAGGCGTAGGCGATTTACTGGGACCTGCACGACTTTCTACGTCATTTTCATCACTAACTTTCTTTAAAGAAAACAAATAATTAAAATTTTAAACATTGAAATGAACTATGGAAATTATAAATTTTATCAAACAAGCATTGGCACCGCGCACATAATTACCCCATCGACAATAGGAATCTATACCTACTAAATTATTAACAAAAAATGTAGCTCCTACCTTCACTTCATCTTCAATTTTTGGATGTTTGTGTATTAAATGCTGCTTTAAATTTGAAGTTCCTCCTCCTGTTTTTAAAGTTTTGCAACACAATTTGCACTTAGCCTTCGTCGTTTCGGTTTTAGTAAAATATCTCCACACAGAGCTTTTCATCATAGAATATTTTATTTGTCATATAAAAGGGTTTATACTGGTTGTTTGTCCATTCCTGTCGTGTTTACTCACTATCTCACTACACAATACCCTAGAACACCCCAATGCACCATACCAAATAACGAAACTCATAAAAAGGTAGGTTAGGTTTACTTCTTCTTGTTCTTTTGTGCACGGCACATCCGCGCCACATTTGAATTTAAGAGAATGTTCTGTGATAAGTGTACCGTGATTATTGTTATTTGTAGTCGTTTTGGGTGTTTCAAAAATGACCTGTGGTTTTTAGTACATTTGCCGAGAGCTTTATATCGCCCGTAATGTCAAATAAACAAAATTTTCTAGGTTAGAACCGCTAATGTCAATTTATTTTGTGTACCAACAGTTTTAACAGCTGCCAACCTGCGGATCACATAGAATAAGAATCGGATCAAATAACCGGTTATTTGGTGTAAAAACCGGTTATAACTGTAGCCAAAAAATAACCGGTAAAAACCGGTTTAACCGAAGCAAAAAACCGGTTTTTCGGTTTTAACCACCGGTTATTGACATCCCTAGTATTAGTTTTATTTGAGCCTGTAATTCCCGCCAAGTATAGTAAGCCAAATAAGGCCCGTATTTCTACAGAATTAGTGGGAAGCGCATCTCTTTCTCTGGCATACTTTGATTTGATCGACTCAATAAATGCATTTGTTGAATCTACAATAAGTTGAACCATTTCCTTATTTATAAAATGGGTAAAAACTTCAGAAACTTCTTTCAAAGATTTAGTTACTGAAGTGCAACCGGGTAACCTTTTTATAATATTCTCTTTTCTTGTACGCACAGTTTTACGGCTTGGTGGATTTTTCTTCCAAACTGATCCATCTTTTCCTAAAAATAAAATATAGTGTTAATTTTAATAAGAATATATTTGTCTAATAATTATTATTATTAGTGATTCTTCACAATACTACAAAGGTATTATATAAGAGAAGACTGGCAACCTTCTTTGTCTCCGCTGGCATCCCACCATAAACGGACCACTAATCAGAACAAACCAAGCTAACTAAATATCGCCTCATCTACGGTGTTTATTCGCGAACTTACGGCGATATTTTTGTTGGTGAGTCATTTTCGCTTTCAAGAGGTAAATGGGAGCTTCCGAGGCTGTGAAAATTTCGCCTCTGTCCAAGCGACTTTCAACGATGCACGTTAACTTGACGCGCTTTGCGCCTGGATTTTTATTTACGCTTAGTATGATTGATTGGTTTTTTACTTTTTATTGGGTAGAACTGTTGTAAAAATACACTTGTAATAGGCAAAAATATAAATACAAAAAGTCGTTCGTTCCTTCATTTTAAGGGTGAGGCGCGGCCTCAGAGGCCTACCCTGACGAGCCGCCACTGAGTTTAGGTAGCCGTATGGTGGTAGAAAATAATAATCCACCATAGTGGATATTCTAGTACTTTATGTGACATATTTAGTAGAAACCAAATCTTTTTGGTAGTTTTTCAACATATTGAATTTCTTTGAATTTAAATTGTGAAGTGACCTATTTAAATTATAAAATATAAACTATAAATTAAAGTTACTTACTAAAGTCTTTAGGACCTTTTCCAAACAGTTTGGTGGATTTCTTGACCCAACAACAGTAAATAAGTTAGGTCGGAGATGGGCTTGTGAAGAAATAGACAAATTTTTGTAGCTTGATACCTATCAATGTGAATGTATTTGTGGATTTGTAGACGCAGAACGCATTCAGGATTACAAAGGGACAAGTTATTTGCTCATTTCCTATTCTAAATTAACGTAAATAAAAATTAATACGCTAAATTGTTTGTGTATGTACAGGGATAGTTAATCGATTTTGACTTTTATTCATTTAGTAAAAACTCCATATCAACTATGTAAATATAAAAACAACTATGTTTTGAAAGTTTCACGTAATTTATTAAATGTTGACAATTGTTTCGCTACATAGTAGCTTTTTCAGAATGTATTAAAACCAATACTAGTACAAAATTTATATAACAAAAATGTAGGTTTTCTAGGTAATATTTTTATGCTAAATCTTCCAAATGGGAAAAACCTAATTTATTTATTGTTAATTTTATTTAAGGGTGCAATATTTTAAATGTGATTGTTTTTTATAATGCTATTGTTGTATCTTAATTAAAATAGGTTTAACAGAGGTGAATTATTTATTTCATTTAATCATTAAGAATATTATTAGTATTTTTAATTTTGTTAATTTCTAAAGAGTCCAATAGATTTGTGCCTTTATTTTCTAAATGCAATATTTTGAAGTTGTTATTAAATATATGGTTTTCTGTAATTATGTGTCGCGTAAGCTGATTCAAGTTTTTGGTTTATAAATGATCTACGATGTTCTTTAATTCTGGTATTAAAATTACGGCCAGTTTGTCCTATTTAAGTTTTTGGATAATCTGTACAAGTTAATTGGTATACGCCTGATTTCGTATGCCTACACAGAGAAAAGTAATCTCTTGATTTTACTATATTTGGCTTGGCGCAAATAAATTATTTATTTTGATATCTACAAGAAGATATTATTTAGTGGAAAACTTGGGTTTATTTGACTTTTTAAACTGATATTTGGTTATTACAACTAAATATATAGTTGACTTTTTATCTTAGGGGCCGTTCATTAATTACGTGAGGTGTTTAGGGGGGAGGGGGTCGAGCCAAACCTCACCCAATCTTACGGGGAGGGTGGTCTCGGCAAATATCACGTAATTTTTTCTTTTCGAATGAAACAGTGTAAAATTGCGAGAAAACTGGGTTAAATTAAGTAAACAATTATAACAATTTTTTTTTAAATAAATCTAATGGAATCAACAGATTAACTTATTTACATTAAAACCATGCATTTAAAAAAATCTCACGTGAGATTAAGGGGAGAGGGAGGGGGTCGAGCAAAATCTCACGACATCTCACCAAGGGGAGGGGAGGGGTCGAAAAATCGCAAAAATTGCCTCACGTAATTAATGGACGGTCCCTTAGGTTTAGTAGAAGCTTACTTAAGAAAACAAAACATTTACTTGAAGTTAGTAACTATTTTTTTTACTTTAAATGTGAAGCTTACTTAAAGAAACAAAATATATACTTATATGAAGAAAACAATTATTGTAGACATATACAGTCAGTCACGAAAGTATTCATACACCCCATTTTTTTGGAAATAGGAAAGAAAGTACAATTTAAGTAAAAAATATATTATTCGTTTGATGAAACATGAGTAAAAACTTAATTAGAACTCTTTACAACTCTGAATTCAAAAACATTTAATAAACATTAATAATATTAGAAAGTTTTAAGGTCACAAAATTATTCATACAGTTACATTACATCACAAATAATTAAGTTAATCTTATAAATAACTTTATTTCATAAATTTTTAATACTTTGTAGCAGCTACATTGGCTTTTCGAAGAGCTTCTATTCTGCGAGGCATGGACAAAATTAAATTTTCAGTAATTTCAGGTGTAATTTCATCCCATGCCATTTGAAGAACCCGCACTGAACGAAAAAGGTACGTGAAATTAATAAAAAAGTACATCAAATCAATAAACAACAACATTAATTTTCAGCCGATGACTGGTGTTATTAATACAATGACCAGTCGTTCGTAAAATTTCTTGTTTAATAAGTTAAATCAATGAAGAATGAGCATGGATCTATGTTTGACAGTAATTAATACGATAAACAAATTTACATCAGCTTATTAATGCTGTACGTTAAATTAATAAACTATGATCATGGATCTATGAACAGCGGTTGTTAATATAACGATCGTTGGACATTAGTTTATGATTACTACATTAAATCATAGATACATAGATATATGAAAGCTTGTTAATAACATGATGTTATTAATATTATGAACATTAGACATTAGTTTATGATTATTTTACATTGAATCAATAAACAATTACCATAGATCTATGATCCCTGGTTATTAATACTACGAAGAAAAAGGCATTAGTTGATGATTTTTGTACGTTAATCAACGAGCATGGATTTCTATGCACGGTGGATTTTAATATTACAAAATTTTAATATTTTACTTACATTTTCATAAAATCTAAGAAGAACCCAATTAAATTTTTTTGCCAAATTTACTTAACTTTTTATTTAGGTAGGTACTTACCTTTTTATTTAAAATAAAGGGGTTTCTTTAAAATAAAGAAGTTTTTGTCAATATATTTTTTTATTGCGTAAAAAATTCATAAATAATATGAACCTTTGGGTTCTCAAGAACATCATGCTTTCCTGTGGAAAGTCGACATTAAATATATAAATAATTTTAAAACATATATCGACCGCCTTAATTATATGAAAAAATTGGTAACGGGAAATAGGAAAGAAAGTACAATTTAAGTAAAAAATATATTATTCGTTTGATGAAACATGAGTAAAAACTTAATTAGAACTCTTTACAACTCTGAATTCAAGAACATTTAATAAACATTAATAATATTAGAAAGTTTTAAGGTCACAAAATTATTCATACAGTTACATTACATCACAAATAATTAAGTTAATCTTATAAATAACTTTATTTCATAAATTTTTAATACTTTGTAGCAGCTACATTGGCTTTTCGAAGAGCTTCTATTCTGCGAGGCATGGACAAAATTAAATTTTCAGTAATTTCAGGTGTAATTTCATCCCATGCCATTTGAAGATCCCGCACTGAACGAAAAAGGTACGTGAAATTAATAAAAAAGTACATCAAATCAATAAACAACAACATTAATTTTCAGCCGATGACTGGTGTTATTAATACAATGACCAGTCGTTCGTAAAATTTCTTGTTTAATAAGTTAAATCAATGAAGAATGAGCATGGATCTATGTTTGACAGTAATTAATACGATAAACAAATTTACATCAGCTTATTAATGCTGTACGTTAAATTAATAAACTATGATCATGGATCTATGAACAGCGGTTGTTAATATAACGATCGTTGGACATTAGTTTATGATTACTACATTA